CTGTCGCCACAGGCGTCGCATCTGAAATTCCGCGCGGCCTCGGCGCACGCTTTCCTGGCCCCCGTGCGGCGCAGGCACCGCGCCAATGTCGCGTTCGTAGGGTGGCCGAAGTCAACGCGCGGGCTACGAATGTCTCGCCTAACGCAGGGGTCGAAGGAGAGCCGCCGTGCGCGCCTCTCTCTCTCTCTCTCTCTCTCTCTCTCTCTCTCTCTCTCTCTCTCTCTCTCTCTCTCCTCCTGCGATAGTATGGGCTCCAGTCCCGCAGCAGCTTCAGCGCGTGCTTCCGCGGTGTCCTCAGGGACTTGCGGAGCTCCACGTTCAGGCCGACGCCCGCCCTTGTCCTGAGGCCCCTCTTCGGCCAACGGGTCGGCCTCAAGTTGCTTTTCTCCCGCCCCCTTGCGCTTCGGCGGCTTGCCGCGCGGCCTCCTCTTCCTGGCCGTCGGCCCCTCCGCTTGAACAAGCACGCCATAATGTTGGCGTCGGCTTGCTCGCCAAACTCCAGGTCAATATGCTTGTCGATGGCCGAGAGGATGGTGCGATCCAGCTCGTCGGGCCACTTGGCTGCGGCCCTGGTCTCCTTCTCGTTCTCGAGCGGCGCGCCTGTGGGAGCGGTCGCGCTTCGCGTTGCATAGTGCTTCGCAGATGGCGACCGACGTGGTCAGAGTCCTCATAGGTATGTAGCGTGGGTCGTCCGTAACTTCGCCCGTGCAACCGAGCTGGCAGCCGCGCTGCGTGCGCTCGACGAAAACGCCATCCTCGACGAGCTTCTCGGGCTGGTCGCGCACGCTCGATCCGAGCGGCTGCTCCAGTAGAACGCGTCGGCCGCGTCCGACTCGATCAGACGCGTCCGAACCTGGGGGTCGCGAGCATGGCGATGCCGAGCTGGCCGTAGAACAACTGCTTGAGTAGCATCTTGCCCCGGGAGAGTCGCCCGGCACGGGCGGCCGCACTGATCATCGCGTCGCAGGTCCGCATCTCGATGGTCTGAAGATCCTCGTGCATCGCCTGAATCTTCTTCGCCCACCTGGAACTTGCCATCTGCTAGGACGGGTCGTCGCTCCAGTCGGTCATCCTGGGATCCTCGGAGACCTCCTCGATCTCCGCCTTGGTGCTGACCTCGCTGGCGTGCCCGTCGATGACCTCCGCTGCGTCGATGGCGCCCGTGTCGACTCCGCCCTGACTGGACCCGTCCTGTTCGAAGTAGACCTGGAACCCCGGGTCGAACACCGCGGGATCTAGGAAGTCAAGCAAGTTGACTCCCAGGTGGCCACCGCCCGTTCGGACCAGCGGTGCGCCGAGCGCGGCGCGTCAAGTGCGCCGACGGCGTTGATGTTCGCGATACCGTTCGCCGCATCGGTGACAGTCCCGAGCTTGGACTGCGTGTCCTTGGGGATAAACATGGGCGCGTCCTGGTCAAGCTCTGCGGTCTCGATCGTGAACGCGCTGTTGGCGATGTCAACAGGCATCCTCTACGCCGCGTCGCTGCACGCGGCTTCGCCGACTCCTCTGAAATTGGTCTCGCGTGAACCTGAGATCGGCTTGAGGAAAATGGCCCGCGACTGCTCATCGCCCTTGATCCTCCAAGGCGCGCCATGCATGGTCCTCTGGCAGGCCGCGTCGAGCACCGCGAACCCGGGCGGGCCCCGGGAAGCCGAGCTGAACGCCTCGTTGACCTCCTCCGCGGCCCCGACCATGAAGACCTGGAAGCTCCCGTCCTCCTCCTGGGCCGGGGGGGCCCCGCTCGCCCATCGCCATGGGGTGTGTCGGGAACCGCGCCAAGCGGTGCTGGTCGACGCTGAGCTTGGGCGCGTCGCTGGCCATCGCCGCCAATATGAAAGAGTGGCCGTAGGCTCGGGATCCTGGCCCGCTGTCCACGAACTCTGCGAATGCGCATCCCGTGCGCTTGCCGACCTTGATCTTCTCGCCGCCGAAGGGGGGGCGCACTCCACGTCCAGGCCCCTGACGTCCTGGTTGAAGTCCGCCGGGTGCTCCGCGAACGCGTGCCCCCCGAGATTGCCCTTTGCGTGCGGGCATTTTTTGGCGGTCGGTATCTCGTCCAGCTCTTCGTCGGATGGCACCTTCACCTCGCGTGCCTTCTTGGTCATCATCTCCGCTGCCGCGCGCCTCACCCTCGGCGTGTTCTTGACGGCCCTGCAGACCCTGTCGGGCGACCTCGCCCCCCCGCGCACCGGGGCCTGCCCTTCGGGGCGAACGGCAGCGACGCCGCGAAAACCTTCCAAAGCTGCTCTCCGTCGGCACGGCGCGCCCTGACCACGTGAATGCCGGGCTGGCTCGGCGGGCGCTGATGGCGCACCTTAACAGCCTGGCGCCCCGTTCGCGCCCGTGAACAGCCCGGCGCAAGCTCTCAGGGGCCCTCGGGGCGCAGTCGCAGGGGTGGCCCATGACGGGCAGGGGGCGTCAGCGCCGTCGCGGCTGTCCAGCCGCCCCGTCGCCGTCGTCAACGCTGTCCTTGAGCGTCTCGCCGCGCGTGCCCGGTCCTGTCGCCCGCTTAGACGCGGCCTTCGCTCGGGCTCCGAGCCCGGAGCTGACCTCCGCCGAGCTCGAAGACGCCCCTACCACGAACACCTCGGCGATCCTGGCGCCACCGCCGCTGACCTTCTCGCCGCCGAAGTCGCCGCAGCTAAAGTAGCTCGACTTGGGCGGTCCGATGGCGGCGGCGCCGCCTGAGTAGACATCGGACAAGCGGGGTCGCCGTGCCAGCGCCCGATCTGACCACAACTCGCGCGCCGCGTTGTCCGCTTCAGCTTTTCAATCCTGGGCCCCCTCTCCGGGTCGTCGCCGCCCTTGCCGCCGCGGCTGCGAGGTCGGCCCCGTGAGTTCCCCGACGAACCCGCCGGGCGTGGGTTGCTCCAGCCGCGGCCCTTAACGCGGCCCGTCGACCAAATTTTCTGCTCGCGCTGCATAATCGCCGCGAAACTCCCCAGCGCCTCGTCGCCCATCTGGTCGAGCTCCCCCAGGCTGGCCTCGTCCTCGCCTAAGTAGACCTCGGGCTCCGATGCGACGCAGGAGGTCGCGCCCTCCCCATCGTCTTCCTCGTCGCCCTCCTCGATGCCAGCCTGCCGCGCCTGAGCCCGGAACTGATGCCGACGCCCCCCCGAACCGCCGTGGCCGAGCATCTCCGCGCTGTTCGTGATTATTCCCATGCTCGCGTTCGTGGGTACTGGGGCGCTGCGTCCTCAGGGCATTGGCGAACGCGCCCTTGCTTTGCTGGTTGCTCGCCGAGCTGGCGACGCCGGCGCGGTCGCTCTTCTACTTCAGCAGTATGTGCGCCTGGAGGTCGTCGCTGATCGTCGCATTCTCGCCTACCTTCTTGAGGTCCTCGAACGCCTTCCAGCGCCTCGCGATATACTCCTGCGTGCTCTCGCCAGCGGCCCTCCAGACCGTCTTGACGTACGGCGCGCCATCGAACAGCTCCGCCGCCCGGACTGGTCGCTCCTTCATCGCAGACTCTCCCAGCGTCGTCAGTAGCTGCTCCAGTCCAGTCGCGTTGGCTCGCTTCTTCTCGTAGCTCGCACCGCCCTTGCCGCCCTCGACCACTCCGACGTCGAAGGTTAGCAGCTACGCGTGGGTCAAATCTCGCACAGCGTCGTACGCCGTCCCACTGATGCCATTGCGTAGGTTGATCGGCGTCGCGGTCTGCTTCTCGTCGCCCGCGCGACCGAAGTAGGCGCCACGATCTCCTTCTCCCATGGTACTCCTCGAAGAAAGCTCCAGATTGCTGACCTTCGCCATCTTGACGTTGAGCACGTCGACCGCTCCAGTCGCGTAGGTGCACACGTCGACCTTGTCAGGCTCGCCGCTGCCGGTGTTGCACACGTTGAACGTGTCAGGTTCGCCGCTGCCGGTGTGGTGTGCCAGGCCGCCCAGGCCCAGCACGATGAGGAACCGCCAACCTCTTTGCCGCGAGTGCCCTCGAGCTTCCCACTGGACGGCCACCGCCATCGCCAAGGGCGTGATCGTGTTCACCTCCGCGCTGCCGCGGGGGAGGCGGGAGCTGACCGAGGGCGAATCCGACCAGCCCCGCTACCATCAAATGACGGCCGCCGCCGTCGAAAACTTTTCAAGTGTGAGCCCGTGCGCTAAAGAGCTCTTCGGAGCCAGAGCGGTTCCGGAACGAGGCGCGTCACCGGCGGCAGCTGGCAATCGGGGCCTCCTTAGGCCCGAGCCCTCGGGGCCTAACTACGTCAGGGGCCCGCAAGTGCCAACATGGAAACAAAGGGAACGATCGTAGTGCACCTCAACATCTCCGTTCTTCTCCGAAAACGTCCCCGGAGAGTGTCGTCCCCCCCCCTCCGCGTAGTTGTTGTCGCACGCAGGATTGGCCCGAGTTGGGTTTGCAGGTGCTCTTCTTGCAATTCTGAAACTGCCTGGCCCTTCCAACACTCTAGGATTGGGCTTGTGCTCCCGTCATTCAGAATGGCGCCGTCGCCCAGCGCGGGCCAGTTTTCTGGACTCGATCCCTTCCTCATCGTTGTCACCCCCTCCTGTACACCTCCGCCTTCCCCTGGTCTTCCTGCTCCACGACCGCGCCCGCCAGGACGAGGACGGCACAGACGGAGACGGCGACGTCAACGACGGCGACTACGAATTTGACACGCCGACATTTATCCATTCAGCACCTCCGCCACCACAATCGTCAGCAGCGTGCGTGCCTCAGATCGGCGGCTCAGTGCCAGGCCCCTGCACGCCTCGGCCCTTGACGGCAAGGCTAGTCCCGAGCGGGCAACTAGAGAAACAACACAGTGCATAAGCACAAACTGTTGGAGCTCCGTGCAGATCTTTTTGATGTGGGCTGGACCCCCGCGGAGCGCGCCAATCAGGCTCCGCCAGAGGGGGCCCCAGCGCACATCCGAGAAATCCGCGCGGAACTCCGAGAGTTTCTGCTCGTGCCGTGACCTGCGCCCCGAGGCAGGGTCGAACCCGAGAGGAGATGCACACGTCCGAGCGATACCAAGGAGAGCAACGACGACGACGTGCGCCTCGCTGGCCGCCGCGGGCGGCAGCGCCGCTGGGCCGCGCCCCCGCATGGTCCGCTCCACGCCGCCGGCCTCCACGCCCGGCCCACCGGCTGTGAGCAGCCGGGGCGACCCCCGCGGGGAGTTTGCCTCCTGAGCGGCGGCGACGACAGCGACGGAGATGACGGCGAGTGGAGAAACACGAGCAATGCATAACCGCACGTGGACCTGGATCTCTTGGGTAGGCGCTGGGCCCCCTCTGGCGGCGCCTCTGGCGCCGTCCCTGGCACGCTCCGCGCGCCAGGAAGGTGGGTCCAGCGCCGATCCAAGAGATCTACGCGGACCGCCGAAAGTTTGTGATATGCTGCTGTTTGCTCTTCGTGTGACGGCAGCGAGTTCGCTTCGGAGGCTTTCAGGGCGTTTCCGATCTTCTTCGGCGCTACGGCCAGGCGCGGCGGCGGCAGCGACTTTGTTTCGGAGGATTTGTTTGTCCGCGGGGTTCTGGAGCTCTGCGTCGCCACAGCCTGGGACGGCGCCAGAAACTGCGACGGCGTCGTCGACGGAGTCGGCCGCCTCCTCGAATTCCCTCCTCCTCCTCCTCCTCCTCCTCCTCCTCCTCCTCCTCCACATCCTCCTACGACTCCCTCCCCCTTCACCTCTTCCTATATGTTTCCACCTCCCCTCCTCTTCCTCATCCTCCTCCTCTTCCTGTATGTTTCCACCTCCTCTTCCCTCCTTCATCCTCCCACCTCATCCTCCTCTCTCCGTTTCCTCCTCCACCTCCTGAACCTCCTCCTCCTCCGCTTCCTCCCTCTGGAGCCTCTGGAGCCTCGGAGCGCGTGTCCCGCAGCGCAAGACACGCACAGACGATTTGAATTAGTGGGCGGGGAATGGCACCCCAACCTCCTTCTTGCTGGTTGGGTCCACACCTTTGCGCAACAACTTGAGTGAGCGCTCCGCACCACTGGTTGGCCCTTGGCTGCATCGCAGGGCCAGGTCCTTGACCTGCCTCCGCGCGTGGCAGCCACAGACCATACAAAAGAACAGTTCAGCATTGACACTCCACATTCTGCGAGTGTCGTGACACCTGGCCAGGACACGCGGCTTGCCTGGACAGGGGTCCTGCACGACAATGCTTCTCTTCACGGAGGCTCTTCCGCACACTCTACACCCCCAGACCCCATCTGTGAGGTGTAGGAGGTGATTGTTATCCGACCTGCCAATCTTGAAGGTGACCACAGGCTGGGCCGCCCCAGGAGCTACAGGCTTGTATTTACTCGTCTTGGGAATTCTATCTACATCGGGAAAACCATCTGGCTTAGGTTTCTCACAGTTCCTCCGAACATCCGAACAAACTGACTGCCTACGTGCATGGCTGCTGCAACACGCTGATCTACGTGGGCCACAGAAGGGTGCCCCATAGCGCCAAGCCTAGCATACTTGTCAGCCGCGGCATTCCCAGGAAACCACTCATCAGAATACCCATGGTTCCTATACCAGGACCTGGGCCGATGGGAAGGCATCCAAACCAGCTCAACGTTTTCTCTCCCGATGTCATCGATTTTCCAGAAAATCGTCCTCCAGATCTCCCAATGTGGCTAAGTAGGGCAGCACTTTACCTCAGGGCCCTTCTCGAGGGCCAGCAGCAAGCTCTTGTGATCTGTCACGATCGCGGCTCTGGCTGGCATGAGGGTCAGGGCCATCAGGAACGCGTAGTGCTCGGCAAGTCCTGAGGACTGGACCAAGCCTGGAACGGGGCCGTAAGCAACTGCTTGGACCTCCTCCGTGCCTGGTCTGAGAGAGCATGCCGACCACGCCGCCCTCGACATCCAATCAATATCAGGATTTAACCCAGACCCATCAATAAGTATAAGTCCCCCAAGATGTCCTCCTCGAGGGTGCCAACTCGTTTGGCTCTCACCGACCTGCAACGGAGGGGAAAGATCATCTCGCTTGCTACCCAAGCAGCCGAAGTCAACCATCTGGTTGTCGGGGAAATCTCTGCCTATGGAAATCAGCCCGTTGAAACCCTGCTCGCGCCTCCAGCCAGCAAGACCATCGCACCTGTACAAACGGTGCGATATGGTACCTGGAGCGCCCACGCACCACCTGCATTCTCGAGCGATACTGTACCTATTCTTGTAAATCTTATCCTGAGCCCAGAGGCCCCCAGCCATATGAATGGCCACCAGATCAGCCTGAGCCGAGGGCCCACGTCCCCGAAGCTGCCTGATCTCTGCTTTCACAGGATCCAGGAACGCAAAACCTTCCCAACCGAGGTGCTTGGCGGCCGCCTGCTCGAGCTGCCGCTCGATCCCCATATAGATAACAGCTTTGAGGGTGGGGATTCCAGTATGAAGGAAGTCAACTTGGAGCCCACGGGGGTCAACCCACATGTGATACGACCTTGCCGCCCACCCGAGACGCCTGAGGGTTCGGACGACGGCCCCTGCAGGGCCTCGCACATATCCCCAGCCCTGCTGGGCCCGTGTTAAGGCCCTGTGGAATATGTGTTCCATCATGTTTGTGGGGGCCCATTCCTGGTGCAGCGCCAACAACCAAGTGAGCAGCGGGAGCGAGTTCACCTGGAAGGACGGATCGGCATCCGGAGGGTCCAACCACAAAAACTGCACAGCTCGCGAGCGGCCCTTCGCCTTGCCGAAGAGCGCGAAGGCCGAGACAGCCCTCAACTTCTGCAACTCACTATCTGGCATGCCCATGACCCGCGCCCCGTACGTGGCCGAGGCTAGACCTCCTGCACGGTAAACACGTGTTAACCCTTTGCGATGATGCTTGAGGGCCCGAAATCGATGTGCACGCCTCCTGGGTTTGCTGATCTTGGACTTCTGCACTGGTTTACCTGCACGGGCTTGCAATCCGAAGTCGTGCCCTAGGTTCTTGACGCTGGCGTACACCTTGGAACTATATGCACGCAGATCTTTGCCTAGCTGCGCCGCTAACTCCTTGGTAGAAGCCAGCACCTGGCATTTCTTGCGTGAAACCACTTGCTCCAGATGCTGTAACTGCTTGCAGACGTCGGGGACCGCAGAAGCTAGCGTCTGTCGAACGAAACGTGCCGAGCCGCTAGCTTCTAATGTTATATCGTCTACCATGACATACAGGTGTACGCTCGGGCATCGATCACGCATGTGCACTAACAAATCGTACAGCACAACACGCAGTAACGTCGTCGCAAACGAACAGCCCGCGATGATCGAGCGATTCAGCCTGATAACCGACGAGACGGCCTCCCTCACCTTGATCATCCTCCGCCCTCCGTACAACGTCAACAAAAGCCGAGCCCGTCTTAAGTCGAAACTGTGCTTCTGGCAGGACCTCCAAAGAACATCGCGGGGGATCTTCTCATCGCACTTCTCTAGATCTATCAGCGCTGACCCCGAACAAGCCGCGATAGATTCTGCAGCTTCGGCTCGCGCCGCCTGCTGCCACACTGCGCGCTCGCAACTCTTGCCCTTGCCGCCGTGCGCGCAACTCAGGGCATGATTCCGCTCCCATTGGTTGGCCTGGTCTCGCCTGAGTCGGCCCAGGATGCGGATGCATGTCGCCAAAACTCCTATGGGTCGATGACCTCCGTCTGACTTCTGAAGAAAAATCACCAACTACACATCGCATTGTTCAGGGATCAGTAGGTGCTCTTCTATAAAGCCGAGGAACAACCCGTAGGCCGTCAAAGCCTTGTCGCTCAACAACTTCAAAACACAAGGGTTCCAACCATCAATGCCGACCGCTGTGCCCTTTTTGAACCTCTTGAGAACCTCACGGAGCTGTTCGGCCGTTGGTGGAGGGGGAGGTTCGCCCAAGGGTTGGTCCAGGTCAGAAGCCAGAAGCCGAGAAGGTTCGCCCTCGTGCCAAACCTCACGCCATTCCCTAAGCAGCTGCTCGACGGTGTCCACTGGCCCCGCAGGGGCTCCAGCAGGCCCCGCAGCGCCAGGGGCCCATCCTTGAGGCTCTTTGGTCCACTTGTAGACCGCGCCCCCTCCGGACTCCAAAGATTGGGATACCCAGCTCCTCCACTCCTTGGTCCTCTTGCTCCTGAACCCCGCCTCCTCCTGGTCCGCCAAGCTGCGCAACGCGTGCAGCCCCGCGGAGATGCCGCCCAAGCCGACGTCCGCGGTCAGCTGCAGAGAAGAGTGAAACTGCTTCCAGCCTGGAACGTCTGCCAAACTCGGGTTCGACCAGCTGAGCCTCCAGAGTAAGTCACGAACACCCTTGGGCTCCCAAGAATGCCCCTTGCCCACCAGGTAACTCAACTACTCCAGCCAAACCTGATATCTCCTCATACTCCTCGTCTGCTTCGAACATTTCGGAAACGGTCCCGTGACGTATTCCAGAGTCGGCTTTTCCACCACCCGAAAGCCCCGACTCCTCCCACAATACTTAGGTCGATCCGAGACAGGAATGCTCAAAGTATCGCAGAGCTCGGTCTCCATGCGATCGCATAGCTGCCCATGGAAATTCTTGAAACCTTCTGCCGTCGGCGCCTCGTCGATCGCCTCGAACGAACTGCTGATATCTGACCAATCCTGCGGCAGTGGGACTGGTCCTATAGGCCTCTCTGTCGGAAAAGGCATGGGCACCTTGACGTGCGACTTAGCTGCAAGTGCGCATCGGTTCCCAGAGACAGACGGACAGGGAAATGATTCTTATTCGCCGAGTCCGAGAGACGTTCACACGATCTGACGACCCCGACGAGCTCATGCGAGACCACGAAGAAATCTAGATCACGCCACGCTTTGCCCACGCGACAAGTCGGCATGTTACAACTCACCACAACACCCCTCATCTTCTGAACGCCCCGAAGACTCTGAACCTCCGGGGGTAAACTGTTGAAATCCCCAGATATGGCGAAGGGCTTCTGGGCCCCAAACAAGAATTCTCCCAACTGATTCATGATCTGCTGCCCTTTAGCTCCTGCAACTCCCTCGCCATCTGGAATGTACACACTGGCGACATAGAAGCCCCCCTTCACGCACCCGTTCACCCACACGATCGAGCAACGCGAGTGGAGGAGATGTCTGTGTACATGAGGCGGTTCGCCAACTCCGATGTGCTGGCGGACCGCGATGCCGACGCCCGAGGAGATGCCCCCCTTGGTCAGTCGCATCCGCTGAAGATAATCTCAAGTTGAAACC